AAAAAAAAAAAAAAAGGTTAATTTATAAAACTTCAGGAAAGATTAGGCAGATCAGATTTTAAAAGAACAATAAGATATAGAGAACATGGGCTTTCCAACACATTGCAGGGAACCAGAGATCAGAGCTGGGCTAAACAAGGGAAAGGGACCAGAAGATGGATCCAGATTTCTGAGAGGATTTGTCTAATCTGACCACCTTACCTGGTGGGGAGTAAGGGAAAAGGTGAGACTTCTCCCCTCATCCTCATCTCATTGTTACTAGGCACCACACCAATTATTTCCTCCTCTTTCCTTCCCTACTTCTTACACACCAGCCATCAGCATCAATGTGAAAACCACTGCTTGGATTATATAGGTAATTTCCAAAACTACACCTGCTATCAGAGCAATCAATAATGGGGCAAATAAGCAGGGTACTGATAACGGAAGCCCAGCACCCAACTCTCACGCTGGAGTACCTAATTCTCACGCTGACAGAGAAAAGTACTCCAACAAGGCGTGACTGAGGAGTTAAGAGGAGCAATTTAGGCAAGTCTCAGCAATGGGCACCACCACAGTTTACAGTTAATGGTAGTCTGAGTGTTTCTAATGAATGATACTCTCCCTCTCCCTCCACCAAGGTTTAACAGGCATTTTAGGCATGTCCCAGTCTGTTTAGAACCAACCCTATTAATCCCCGTTTCTGATGAGAAGAGACAGAAATGTAATGAGGCTAATTTATGTAGAGTGTGTGACCCATCCTGAGGCTAATGAAAATGTATCACACCTGCTTATTTACACGCTGGTGATAGCATTCCTTTCACAGGGCTCAGAATTCAAGAGTTAGGAAGGTCTCGTATACCCAACAATTAGAGAACTCCAGATCATTAAATAAAGGCCATAAAATCCAAGTGTTAAATTTTTTTCCCTTTATTGATTTATAATCCTTAATAAACTAGCATGTTCCAAAATAATTTTAAAAGATAACATTTACTAAATTACTTATTGCATTATTGTGTGCCAGGCACAGTATAAGGTACTTTATGTGCATTATCTCAATCCTGAAAATAACATTACTAGGAAGATCCTGTTATTCTTCCTTTAAAGATGAGGAAATCAACACTTAGACTATTACTCACATAGCTAGTAAGGGGCAGATCTAAGATTCAAACCCATGAAGGTCTGCCCAGTGCCCTGGCCAACCAGTCTACCTAAGCACCAAAAGGGGCTCTTACCTTTGGTGAGTAATACTTTGCTGCAACCTGCCCCAGCAGCAGATCTCAGAATTGTCCCCAGGTTCCCAGGGTCACGGAGATTGTCACAAATCAACAATATGGGCAGTGAATGGTGAAGCTGTGTCTTTGGATATGTCATCTTAACATGGTCAGGTTTGGCAAATATCCCTGAGGAAACAGGAGATTCACTTCTCTGACGTGGACATGGGGAATAATCACACTTTTCATTTATTTACCATTCTTTACATATTCTTAATTACATAGGGAGTACATGAATACACTCTGAAAAAATTCAAACATCATAAAATTCTACCAGTGATACTCTCTGCCCCCAGCTGTGCTGAGTTTTGGAATGTGTCCTTTCAGAACTTGTTCTATGTATCTACCTACATATATACACTTCTACCCATATGTAGCAACTTTTTAGTTTTGGGGTTTTTTTTTTTTTCTTTGAGACAAGAGTTTCACTCTGTCACCCAGGCTGGAGTGCAATGGTGCAATCATAGCTCCTTGTAGCTGCAGCCACCACAAACTCACAGGCCCAAGTGATCCTCCTGCTTCAGGATCCTGAGTAGCTGGGATTACAAGTGTATATCACCACACCAGATACTTTTTTTTTTTTTTTTTGTAGTTTTTGGCTGGGGCTGGATTTGAACCTGCCACCTCTGGCATATGGGGCCAGCACCCCACTCCTTTGAGCCACAGGTGCCACCCCCACACCAGACACTTTTATTATAGGAATAAGCCACTTACACCTGGCAGGAGGTTTTCTTTTTTGCAGTGTGGCTGGGGCCGGGTTTGAACCCGCCACCTTTGGTACATGGGGCTGGTGCCCTACTCATTGAGCCACAGGTTTTCTTTTTTAACATAAAAAAGTATTCTTTATATATTCTACAATTTACTTATTTTGTTCAATAACATAACATGTCTTGAAAAATGTAACATAATTGGTGGGGGTGGTGGCTCATGCCTGTAATCCCAGCACTTTGGGAGGCTGAGGTGGGTGGACTGCCTGAGCTCATGAGTTCAAGACCACTCTGAGCTAGAGTGAGGCCTCCATCTCTAAAAATAGCCGGGGGTTGTGGTGGGTGCCCGTAGTCCCAGCTACTTGGGAGGCTGAGGCAAGAGAATCGCTTAAACCCAAGAATCTGAAGTTGCTGTGAGCTGTGATGCCACAGCACTCTACTGAGGGAGACATAATACAACTCTGTCTCACAAAAAAAAAAAAAAATTTCCTCTGAAACATGCTCCAAAGAGACTGTGTAGTTTTTTGAATTTTACTAGCATTTTGCTGTGTATAATTGCTCCAATAAATGGACTACTGCCTGAAGTTAGGAAAAGAATAAAGTAGTGCATGAACTGAAATATAACATGATGAAAAACTTAAGATTCTTTCCAAAAGACAATGCAGGTAAAAAGCCTGGAGGCAATGGAATGGCATGTGTTTGCTATAAAAGATCCCATACTTAAGAGTCACAGTTGAACCAAAGACCATTTGGCAGAGCAAGGAACCTCTGAAGTCCTCTAACTTCTACTTGAAGGTCTGTGATGATGAGAATCCACTACTTATAAAGGCCCTACTTACATCACTGAATTTTAGAGAGTACCTGAAGTTTGACAGGTAGTGCTAGTTCTATCAACTTCTCCCTTTATTTCCCTAAAATCTAAAATACAGCAACATAAAGACAAGCTGAATGTAATTTTTTTTTTGAGATAGAGTCTCATTATGTCACCCTTGGTAGAGAGCTGTGGCATCACAACTCATAGCAACCTCAAACTCCTGGGCTTAAGCGATTCTCTTGCCTCAGCCTCCTAAGTAGCTGGGACTACAGGCGCCTGCCACAAAGCCCACCTATTTTTTTGGTGCAGTTGTCCAATGCTGTTTAGCTGGCCCCGGCTGGGTTCGAACCCACCAGCCTCAGTGTATGTGGATGGCGCTGAAACCACTGTGCTACAGGTGCAGAGTCTGAATATAAATTTTAAGCTATGAAATGATCAAAGTGGTCATAATGATGGAGGCGGCTACTTAAGTCCAAGATGGGCTTGCCACTATTAGTATACACGCCCAAAGTGGCAAGTACTTTAAAAATGAATGACACTTTCCCTGAAGCATGGAGCAGATATTAGAGAGGTGTAGCTAATGAGAGCTTGACTACTTGGTGTAATTCTAGGTATTCAGTGGTCCAAGCTTCCATCCTAGGGTTTAAGAGTTCTAAGCGTAGGGCCACAGATCCTTGTGACTTGCTGGGTTATAGGGACAAGAGATGGTTCCCCAGAATTTCCTCTCCCAGTTTACAATCCAAGGATGGAATCAGTGATCCCACTATAGGAAACATGCACATATCATGGGTATAAGAGCCCTGGTCTAGACATTCGAACCTTGGAGATAACGCCCCCTCTTCCAATTCTTCCTTACCATTTAAGACAAACCTTGAACCTTCAGTTCTCAGATCTTAAATATAAATCCAATGTCAAGAAAGTATAAAGAATTTATCTTCCCATATGTAGATCAAAGACTTTCTAAGAACTACTAGACATTATGGTTACATAATACCTTAAGTTAGAGTCAACCAAATGAAGAAACACTCTGGAAGATGAGCTTCTCTGTTCACTAGGATAAACAGGGCAATTAATAGTAGTTTATACCTTATTCCTTATACTTGCTTCTGGAATAGTATTTGAAGATAGCTACTGCCATACACATAGAAGTTTTGTGAAAATGTAAGGCTACATCTTTTAGTAAACATTTTCTTAATTTTTAGCCTGACATTAAAGTTTGAAGAAGGGACCTACAAAGTATAAGCTTTGATGAAACAGTGGTTCTTCCTAGAGACTATCAAGAGCCAAAATACAAGTCATGGTAAAAAACTGGCTTCAATTTCCATTGAAAATACTGTTAAGATGCATAGGTATGAGAATTGTATCTTTCTGGGTGTTTTAAGAAAGTTTAGACAGTAACACTTTGAATACAGTTTAAATAATGTTTGTTACCCTAAAAAAGAATAAACAAGTAATCCTAGGTCTCTATGCCTAGTGATACACTGTGTAACCACTGACCCATTATTCCTTGTGGCGCTACTAGGTCGGACCAATCCTTGATATCCTCAAACTTCACCTTAATCAGGCTGACACCTTTCAGCTTATCGACTGGCAGTTCCTTTATGTATTCCAGACGACTAAAGAAGAAAACTTTTGGCACAGCTCCAGCCTGGAGAGCGTCTGCAATGAGCCGGCGACCTTCCAGCAGGATCTTCCCTTGCTTTTCCCGAAATGGCCTGGACTTAACTATTGTCATGACACTACTGTGGGTGGAAATAAAAAAACAAGTAAATTACTAAGAGCCTCATTACTGAGACACACCTAGTTCTAACAGACTTAAAGAGCTTGCGGCAGTCAGAAACAACTTCCAAAGAAGACACTTATTTCCACTCTCCATGCACAATAAAAACCAGCGCGTTGGACTGGGAGAAGTCCTCCACAAGGGGCAAGAGGAGGTTGAGGTACCGCTGTGAGGCGGGAAAGGAAACAAGAACACTCGACAAGCCTCGGGAATACATCACCTCAGCCTCCTATCCCCTGGAAAGGCCTTATCGTAGCGAAGCCCAGAGTCTTCCCAGGTGCTGGGCGTCTGGGATGGGGGCACCTGAAGCGTCTGTTTCTGCTGCTGCTCACGGGGACTGGCCTCGGAGGCCGCCTTGCGGGGTGGCTTCTCAGGAGCGCGCTTCCGTTCCACCACCTGTCCGGAGGGAAACACCACTTTCACCGGGCTCCGCCGCAGCGCTCGGACCCAGCGCCGCGCCTCGAGGTCCCAGGTCTGGACCACTGGCAGCAACGGTCGCGTGGCTAATCCAACACGCCGCGCCAACGCCGCCATCTTCCCCGGGCCTTGGCGTCCGTCAAGAACGCGCGCCGGCGGCAATCAGTGACGTCACCGTGCGGCGCGGCGGCGGTGGGCAGGGCGGCGCGGCGCGGTGACGGCTCAGAGACTGCGGGAGTCATGGCTGCTCGCCGATTTCTGCACTTCGTCTTCAAAGTGGGAAACCGCTTCCACACCGCGCGTTTCTATCGGGATGTCCTGGGAATGAAGGTGCAGTCCGGGACAGATTGGGGCTGGCCCATCAGGCTGGAACGGGCGCCTGAGCCGCCCCGGCAGAGGGAGGGGAGAAATGGGTGTGTCGTCAACCTCAGCAGGAAGGTTTCCGACCTTAGGCCTGGGACAGCCGGTTGGCACTGCGTGGGTTTCAGCTTCAGGAAGCGTCGGGAATCACTAGTTTAATAGGCTTTTGTGGCGGCTAAATTCAAGTTCATTCACAAATATTTATTGAGATCTGTCCTTGTGGAGCTTGTAGTCTACAGGGAAAGTCAGCAATTAGAAAGTTATATAATACTTTCCCAATTAACAGTAACCTTGTCTCTTCCCGTTTGGAGTCTTTGGTATAATCAGCGTATTCAGAATTCTGCTTCTATTAGAGCTAGTCTTTATGGTCCCTCGTGCATACTCAGTCTCTGTGTAAATGCTCCGATTCTCCTTTCAGTAATCTAGATCTAAATAATGAGGTCCGAACCCAGATTCTTTCCAACACCTGGAAGCAGCCTCTGTCCAGTCCTGAGAAGCTCTGATGCTGCAGGGGATTGCTTGGCTAGAAAAGCAGCCAAGTTATTGGGGAGCTCCTGATAAGCCGGGGAACACACCAGTAAGGAAAGCTTTAGAGATACAAGGGCATGGCTTAATGTAGAGACAGTGCAGTTGACTTGGAGTGCAAAGGGAGTTAACTGAATTCGTAAGTCATTTTTAAAATATTTGCTGTTTTACAGGTTATGTAGAGTTTTGGCAACAACAGTATGAATGACTCTGGTATATATCTTCAGAGTCATGGTCTGGGTTGGAGTGGAAGTGAGAATTGAATTTGTACATACCCCACAGGAATGAATGAGAATTTGATAATTGATAACAAAACTGCAAAGCTTTCCCTTCTTGTATTTCCTCATTGATCAAAGAATTGTTGTGAAGATTAAATACATTATATATCAGTATTTGACATATAGATAGATAGCATATAGGTGTTTACTGCTATTATAAAAATAAAATAAAAGGAGAGATTTTCCAACCTGGCTGGTCTGAAAATAATTCATGGAGACCTTGCTTACAAATTGACTTCTATAGACAGTAGGATTTCCACAGATAGAAATTCCCCTCTTTAGAGGGGAGTTACACTAGAAAAACTGAATAGCCAATATAAAGATAACATGTTTGGGAAACCATTTTTTTTTTTTTTTAAAGATAAGAGTCTCATGGACGGCACCTGTGGCTCAGCAGGTAGGGCGCCAGCCCCACATACCAAGGGTGGTGGGTTCAAACCTGGCCCCGGCCAAACTGCAACAACAAAAAAAATAGCTGGGTGTTTTGGTGAGCACCTGTAGTCCCAGCTACTCAGGAGGCTGAGGCAAGAGAATCGCCTAAGCCCAAGAGTTGGAGGTTGTTGTGAGCTGTGACGCCATGGCACTCTATTGAGGGCGATGGGCAATAAAGTGAGACTCTGTCTCTAAAAAAAATAAAAAATAAATAGAGTCTCACTTTGTTGATTCCAGTAGAGTGCTATGGAGTCATAGATCACAGCAACCTCAAACTCTTGGGCTCAGGTGATCCTCCTGCCTCCCAAGTAGCTGGGACCACAGGTGCCTGCTACAATGCCCAGCTATTTTTAGAGATGGGGTCTCGCTCTTAGGGACCTCATTCTTTTTTTTATTGAGACAGGGTCTCACTTTCACCCTCAGTAGAGTGCTGTGATGTCATAGCTCACAGCAACCTCAAACTCCTGGCCTCAAGTAATTCTCTTACCTCAGCCTCCCTAGTAGCTGGGGCTACAAGGTGCCCGCCACAATGCCTGGCTATTTTTGTTTGTTTGTTTGTTTAGCAGGCCCAGGCCTGGTTTAAACCCACTAGCCCTGGAGTATGTGGCCAGCGCTCTAACCACTGAGCAACAGGTGCCCCCAAGGGACCTCATATTTTTTAACAGGTTGGTATCGTGATCAGAACTGTGCTTCAGGGACATGTTTTTATTGTAGTATTAAGGCAAGAGATTGACAAAGATGATTTTTAATAACCTGAGAGAAATGATGAAACTTGAATGGAGCAGTAGCAGTGGGAATCAAAAAGGAAAACGAAAATGAACACATTGAGAGGCTATGGTATACAAAGTTCTGTATTAGATGCTTTAATAAGTTATCCTTTTATACAACATATTAGGAGACTGAGACTCAGATCCAGCTTAATTCAGTAGGGTTACCCAAGTACTGAGTGACAGTCAGAATTCCAAATCAGACTTCTCTAATGTGGAAAGCCATTCTTTATCCTCACTACACAGTACTGCTTCCCAATCTATTAATAAATTTGCTTGGTAGCCTAACCCCTGGGGTCAATCTGTTCTTTCTTACCTCTACTACTTCTAGCCTGGGAGAAATACAAAGCTCATTTTCTTTTGTTTTTTTATAAGTAAAGCTTAGAAGTGATAACATCTGTGTTTTGACATTTTAGTTTGTGCTAAAGACACTGTGAGCAATACTAGTAAAACTTTACAATTTATTCTAATTCTCTTACTAGGTTCTGCGGCATGAGGAATTTGAAGAAGGCTGCAAAGCTGCCTGTAATGGGTATGATACCTTGTTTCTTAGAATCTCTAGGCTCTGAATACTCCTGGAGAACAGAAGATGGTTTTTCAAAGTGAGTACAAGGTAGTGGGATTTAAAAAAGAGAGAGAGAGACAATAAGGGAAGCAATTTCAAGAACACTGGGAAAATATACTCTTGTTTTTCTACCTTCTCATACAACACTCATGACACAACAAGCAGTTCTCTTTAAATACCAGGTAGATGTCCTGTTATTTCGTTCACTTCTGACTCTGCTTAAAATTAATGTCAGATCCACAAGTTAAGGGCTCAGTCCGACAAGACTGTCCCTACTTGAGATGTCAGTCACAAGTCTGGACCTCCAGATTTCTGACTTACCATCTGTAAGTTGGGAGTTCCCATACCCCTTTCCTTGGGTTTAATAATTTGCTACAGTGGCTCACAGAACTCAAGGAAATAACTTTGCTTATGTTTTCTAGTTTATTATAAAGGGTACAACTTAGAAACTGCCAGATAAAAGAGACACATAGGGCAAGGTATGGAAGAGGGAAGGTGCAGAGCTTCCATGCCCTTCTGGGCAGGCTGGTCTCCCAATACTGCCATGTGTTCAGCATCCTGGGAGCTTGTTGCATCTTGTTTAAGAGTTTTTATACAAAGACTGGGCACGGTGGTTCACACCTGTAATCCTAGCACTTTGGGAGGCCAAGGTGGGTGGATTGCCCTGAGCTCACGGGTTTGAGACCAGCCTGAACAAGAGCAAGACCCCGTCTCAAAAAATAGCTGGGCATTGTGGTAGGTGCCTATAGTCCCAGTTTCTCGGGAGGCTAAGGCAGGAGGATCACTTAAGCCCAAGAGTTTGAAGTTGCTGTGAGCTGTGAGGCCATAGCATTCCACCAAGGGCAACAAATGAGACTCTTTTTTAAAAAAAAGAGTTTTCATACAGCTTAGTAGAACCTAACTTCCATCTTCCTCCGTCCCAGAGGTCTGTGGGTAGGACTGAAATTTCCAGCCCTGTAGTCATTCATCTTTTTGGTGCTCAGTCCCATCAAGTCACCAATTAGCATATACTCAGGGATGATGAAAAGGGCCTTATTATGATTTCAAGAGTTTTAGGAACTCTGTGACAGGAACCACAGACTCAGACCAAATATATTTCACATTATACCACAAACACAAATAAATATATACTCTGGATGAAGCAGTGGCTATTGAGTGTCTTAAGTTTAGTAGCTATAGCAAGTTGGAAAATCCCAGGGCCTTTTGGATATTACAAGCTTTATTGATTGATATACAAGGGAAATAAACCAAGGTCCAGTTGGAGAATTATCTTTAGGAATCCGTTTCCTGCATTAAAGAAAAGGTAGAATGACTCTTTCCCTCAACTAAATGCTGCATAGATGGTATTTGGAGTGTGTAGCTGGGGCCCATGAGCCCTGTCCATAGATTCTTTCAGCACCATCTTTTTTTTTTTTTTTTGAGACGGAGAGCCTCAAGCTATCCCCGGGTAGAGTGCCATGGCATCACGCTCACAGCAACCTCCAACTCCTGGGCTCAAGCGAGTCTCCTGCCTCAGCCTCCCAAGTAGCTGGGACTATAGGCACCCGCCACAACACCTGGCCATTTTTTGGTTGCAGCCGTCATTGTTGTTTGGCGGGCCCGGGCTGGGGATTCGAACCCGCCACCTTAGGTGTATGTGGCTGGTGCCTTAGCCGCTTGAGCCACAGGCGCTGAGCCTCAGCACCATCTGAAATCATCTCATCCTTAGATTACTTTTAGAACTGGAAAGGTTCACTTCTCTGTTCTTCATGGTTAGCCTGGGCCAGGTTTGTCTCTCGTCACTGAATTCATTTACTTTTATTTTTCTAGGCCTTACGATGGTAGATGGAGTAAAACAATGGTGGGATTTGGGCCTGAGGATGATCATTTTGTTGTAGAACTGACTTACAATTATGGCATTGGAGACTACAAGCTTGGCAATGACTTCATGGTAAATATTTTTTTTTCTAGCAGGTTTTGACTAGAGTAGTTTTAATTTTCAGGGTGTTGAAGTTATGTGTCAATGAAGCGGTGACCTTTGAACATAAGCTCAAAGGATATAAGGAAGTTAGTCATGTGGTTGGTTATCTAGGGGAAGAGCGTTCCAGGCAGAGAATAGTCCATGCAGAAGCCCTCAAGTAGCACATGGCATGGTCAAGAAAATGCAAAGAAGCCACTGTGGCTGGAATAGAGAGAGCAAGGGGAGAGTCCTAGTGGCAGAAGAGTCAGAAGTGGCATGGGCTAGGACTGTGTTGGGCTTTTTAGGTCATCATAAGCCATCCCTGAGTAAAACAAAGGGCTCTGGGAGGATTTTGAGTGGAAGAAAAACAGGTCTGGCAACTGTTTTGAGAATAGACTGTAGTATGTATTTGGAAAGTTTACTTTGGCTGCAGAGTGGATGATAGATTGACAAGAGGCGGAAAAGCTGTTAGAATAATCCAAGCCAGAACAAAGCTGTTCTTTCTTTCTTTTATTTATTTATTTATTTACAAGGCTGGTCTTTCATCAGAGGACATAGGTGTGTACATTTCTAGGGATTTCGATTAAGTTAAAGAATTTTTTTGTTTAATAAGCAAAACCAAGTCATCTTAAATAGGTAGCTGGTGGGCCGACATAAGATCAAGATTTCTCTGGTGAGATCTTTAAAATTAGAAGAGATTTTCTTTGGTATGAGTAGTAAATGAATTAGACTTCACTGATTTGAATTTTTGTCCTATGATTCATGAAGGTCTGAATCTTTATGGGAGAAAACATGCAAAAATCTCTTTTTAAATCACTGGAAGAAAATTTTGAATGCCAATGAAATCTTAGATGATCTGACCTAAGGGCAATAGGGTTTTGGCTCATTATCATGATCATAAAAGATCTGTTGTGATTATTTACATGGACGGTACTGGGTTTTTTTGGTTTTTTGGTTTTTTTTTTTTTTTTTTTTTGTAGGGTATCACGCTTGCTTCTACTGAGGCTGTCAACAATGCCAGAAAGCTGCGATGGCCACTCAGGGAAATTGCAGAAGGTGTTTTTGAAACTGAGGCCCCAGGAGGATATAAGTTCTATTTGCAGAATCAGAATCCACCTCAGTCAGGTAATTATGCCAGGACTAGTAAAAGCTGCTGTTTAAAATCATCTATAATGGAAGAAGAAGGAAGCTGTATTTCTTTCTTTTGTAGTCTCTATATTGATGTGACATGTCCTTTCCAAGTTAAGGTTTTACTTGTTCTCTGAGAAGGTATGACCTTGTATTAGAAATGTACTTCATGACTACAGGGGATCAAGACTGGTTCTATTTTACTGGTAATTTTTTTTCTTTTTTTTTTTTTTAAGCAGTTTCTGGTTGGGGCTGGGTTTAAACCTGCCACCTCTGCCGTATGGGGCCAGCTCTCTACCCTTTTGAGCCACAGGTGCCGCCCTTTTTCTTTTTTTTTTTTGAGACAGTCTCACTATGTTGCACTGGGTAGAGTGCTATGGTATCACAACTCACAGCAACCTCAGACTCTGGGGCTTAAGTGATTCTCTTGCCTCAGCCTCCCAAGTAGCTGGGAGTATAGGTACCCACCACCATGGCTAGCTATTTTTTTGTTGTTGCAGTTGTAGTTGTTGTTTAGCAGGCCCAGGCCAGGTTCAAACCCGCCACCCTTGGCGCATGTGACTGGCGCTGTAACCACTGTGCTACGGGCACCAAGCCTTACTAGTAGTGTATTGATGATACAGGATTCTTTGAGCTGCAAATAACAGAAAACCCAACTAGTTTGGGTTAAGACATTAGAAAATTTCTTAATTCACAGAGCAGGTGTTCTATAGGTAGGAAAGATTTCAGGGTTACTTGTTTCAGCAGCTCAGCCACGGCATCAGGAACCCTGATTTTCTCTTTCTGTATTCTGTTGTCCTTGAGGGGGACTCTTCTTCTGGAGTCCCCTCATGGTTGCAGGATGGCAGCCAGTAGCAAATAGGGCTACATGCTTCTACATTCACATGTGATAGGAAAGGAAAAGACCAACTCCCCCCCTCCGCCCCCAGACAAGAGTCTCACTCTGTCTCTCAGCTAGAGGATACTGGCATCAACATAGCTCACTGCAGCCTCAAAGTCCTGTGCTTAAGTGACCCTTCTGCCTCAGCCTCTCAAGTTGCTGGGACTACATGCATGGGTTAATGCACCTGACTAGTTTTTCTGTTTTTAGTAGAAAAGGAGTCTTGCTCTAGCCCTTACTGGTCTCAAATTCCTTAGCTTAAGTGATCCTTGCACCTCAGCCTCCCAGAGTACTAAGTTTATAGGTCTGAGCCATACACCCATCCTAACTCTTGACTTCTTATTCCTGTTTTTTTAAGAGTGGAGGAAAAATTTCCTAGAAACTTCCAGTAAATGTTCTCGTCAGATTTAATTCACTGTGCCTGTTTCTGCATCAATTCCTGGCAAAAGAAGTGGGATTATCCCTAAACTAGTTAGTTATGCTGTTGGAGCCATGGTCAGTTTCCCCAACTCAAGTTTTGGTACTCAGTGCGTGAGGGGTGGAGTGAGGAGCCCACCATGCTGACTGCTGCACAGATTAAGAAAGAAGCTTTGCAAGGTGTGTTCTGTTCACTATAGAGGCAGTCTTATTCCTGCAAATTCAACTATCTGCCCCACCCAAACAAATGCAAAAAAGAGGGGAAATACTGGTGGATAGCAGGGGCAAGTCTGCCTGCCCTTCCACTCAGTGAGTGTATGCCTCCAGTGGACCTGAGAAGAGAGCATATAAACTTTCTTTCGCCTACTGGCCTGCCTTGGGTCCCAGGTGCCGGTCAGGCTGTGTCTGAGTATAGTCTTTTTTTTTTTTTTTTTTTTGAGACAGAGCCTCAAGCTGTCCCCCTGGGTAGAGTGCTGGTGGCATCAAAGCTCACAGCAACCTCCAACTCCTGGGCTCAAGTGAGTCTCCTGCCTCCGCCTCCCAAGTAGCTGGGACCACAGGCACCTGCCACAACACCTGGCTATTTTTTGGTTGCAGCCGCCATTGTTCTTTGGTGGGCCCAGGCTGGATTCGAACCCGCCACCTTAGGTGTATGTGGCTGGTGCCTTAGCCACTTGAGCCACAGGCGCCGAGCCTGAGTATAGTCTTTAAAACTGTTTTTCATCTGGTGCTAAGCCAAAGAAAGAATATTCCAGTGTGGGAGGTCAGGCTGGCTGTGTGGGACTTACTGAGGGATGATATTTCTGTACTTCACTGGTGATTGAAGAGATTTTTATGATTATTTTTGTTGATAGGTGTTTGTTACATCAGTTTTTGTTTGTTTGTTTTTTATGAGACAGAGTTTCACTTATTAACCCTTGGTAGAGTGCTGTGAAGTCACAGCTCACAGCAGCCTCCAACTCCTTGGGCTTAGGCGATTCTCTTGCCTCAGCCTCCCAAGTAGCTGGGCCTACAGGTGCCCGCTACAATGCCTGGCTATTGTTTTGTTGCAGTTTGGCTGGGGCTGGGTTTGAACCCACCACCCTCAGTATATGGGGCTGCTGCCCTACTCCCTGCCACAGGCACCGCCCTTTATTTTTTCTGAGACAGAGTTTCACTTTGTCGCACTTGGTAGAGTGCTATGCCATCATAACTCACAGCAACATCAAACTCCTGGGCTCAACCCATTCTCTTGGCTCAGCCTCCAGAGTAGCTGGGATTATAGATAGCTGCCACAATGCCTGGCTATTTTTAGAGACTGGGTCTCAATTTTGCTCAAGCTGGTCTGGAACTCCTGAGCTCAAGCAGTCCACCTGCCTTGGCCTCCCAGAGTGCGAGGGCTGCAGGCATGAGCCACTGTGCCCAGTAGTGTTTTTCAACCTTTTCTATCTCACAGCACACTGAAACCTTTAGTTAAACTCCTCAGGCACACTTAAATTATGTTGATTTAAAAAAAGAGTAAAAAAATATATTTACTATACTCAGAACTTCTCTCAAAACTATTAATTAATGATCTTTAAAAATGTAGCACACCTAAGAGCCTCTCAGCAGTGTGTCACAGCATATTAGTTGAAAATCACTGATCTGTGTACTGACTTTAAAACTTAACTCTGGAAACTAACTCCACTGTGCATTTTTTTTTTCAAGTCTTAGTGGTATTTCAGTATTTAATATAGAGCCCCACAAATCTAATGTTTTTGTCCTTTGGAATGATAGTACCTTTTCAGCATTAATTTCTTTTTTTTTTAATTTTTTATATCAGCATTAATTTCTGATTGGTACTGTATGTAGTCAGTTCTGTTTGTCTAGCTGGCATTCATCCTTCCTTTGAATTACTTGCTCTTGTGCAGTTTCACCAACTTGTTACCATTCCTGTCTTTAGTCCCCTCAGGCTCTGAGTCAGTTGGGATTTATTGGTTTTGCAATGAAAGGAGAAAATGAAAATTGAGACTGCTAAGCAAAGGCACTTATGAAAAACATTTATCTTAGTCACGATATGGCAATTCTGGCACACAGGACTGAGGCAGTGAAAACCAGAGACACATGTATTGAGTTTGTCATACTCAGATGCAGACATGGAACAGCTCTTCAGAAAGTCCCTTTATAATAAAGTTTCCAGTAATGTTAGGTCTTTTAACAAAACTTTCATTCTTTTTTTACAAAGTAATTGATTTTTCCTTAGATAAGAAAAAGAAAAAAAGGGCGGCACCTGTAGCTCAGTAGGTAGGATTCTGGTCACATACACCGAGGCTGGCAGGTTCGAACCCAGCCTGGGCCAGCTAACACAACAATGACAACTGCAACAACAACAACAAAAATAGCCAGGCATTGTGGCGGGCTTCTGTAATCCCAGCTACTTGGGAGGCTGAGGCAAGTTGGAGGTTGCTGTGAGCTGTGATGCCATAGCACTTTACTGAGGTCAACTTGAGATTCTGTCTCCAAAAAAAAAAGAAAGAAAGAGAAACAAATGAGAAAAAAACAGTACTTACATATCCAGAGATAACCACTATTAACATTTTAGAATATATCTTTCCAATCTTTTATCCCAAAAAAAGTATAATTAAGTATACACATCTCTTCATACTCCATTGTAGGAATTCCATTGTGTTATTACATTGTAGGAAGAGAAACAATTCTCTCTTGTTGGGTGTTTATGTTGTTCCTAGTGTTCCATTGTTCTAAGCAGCACTGTGATGAGTGTCTTTGTGATAAAAGGCCTTCATACATCCACAATTACTTTTTGAATTGCTGAAAATGGACTTGCTCTTTCAAAAGCAACAAATATTTTTGCCTTTTGACATGAGATGCCATCTTCCAGTAATTCACCAGAATGACAAACACAAAGGGAAAGCAGAGAGGCACCTGATACTTGTTCTCTAGGCCTTTTAGAAAACATGGAGTTGTTTCTTTGGCCACATAACATGCGAATCTACAAGAAAAGTGATGTTGTAGACATCAAGGGAATGGCTACTGTTCAAAAAGGCATGCCACAAAGATGTTACCATGGCAAAACTGGAAGAGTCTACAGTGTTACCCAGCATACTGTTGGCATTGTTGCAAACAAACAAGGGCAAGATTCTTGCCAAGAGGATTAATGTTCATATTGAGCCCTCTAAGAGCCTAGATAGCTTCCTGAAACACGTGAAGGAAAATGATCAGAAATAGAAAAAGCCAAAGAGAAAGATACCTGGGTTTAACTGATGTGCCCGCCTGCTCCACCCAGAGAAGCTCACTTTGTGCGAACCAACAGAAAGGAGCCTGAGCTCCTGGAACCCATTCCCTATGAATCCACGGCATAATAGGCATACAGCATAGCACATAGGAGAACCAAGAGAACCAGTTGAGCAGGAGCATAAAGTGCTGGGACCTATTCCCTGTGCATTCATGGCATAATAGGCATAGCAGGCTTTGTCACATTCAATGGAAAGACACCTCCTTGAGTTGCTGGAACCTTTCCCCAATGAATTCATGACATAACAGGTATTAAAAAATAAAAGACTACTGTAAAAAAAAAAAAAAAGCAATGAGTATTTTAAGGCTTTTGGTATATTCTATCAAATTATTGCCCAGAACTGTACTAATTTACACTCTAATAGTATTATATGGTTATGGTTTTCACCCCTCTTTGTGGTGGGGGG